GAAAACAAAATCTTTGACACACGGACACCTACTTTTTGACCCTTGATGTTACAATAACTCGCGAAAAACTCAATATTATGAGCTTAAATTTTTACTGAGAACTATCAATGGTCAGATACATATTCAACATAAATTTCAGTAAGATTGAGTGTTCTGGGAAAATAAAAATTTTAGAGGGGAGGGGAGCCCTTAAATCAATTTATTTAGAAAGAGTTTAGAATAATTTTGTACTTTAAATTAATTCAAACTAATTCACTTGTCCAATGTGATGTAAAATAATTTTCTTTGAACATGTTTACATTAATTTTGTACTTGAAAATTTATTCACACTAATCTAAGATGTCGACATTCGTCTAAACTAATTTATTTCGAATAAATATATTTGACTTCTGAAATAAATTCAAACTGTTTTCGACTGTCGAAATCAGTTCAAGTTTATTACAAAAAAAATTATTCAAATGAATTTAAGTAGTCAAAACTGAGTCACGCCACATTGAAAAATCAGAATTAATTTCCAATAGTTTCAATTAAACTGGTTTGGAATAATTTAATGAAAGAAATCAGTCTAAAGTAAAATTAGGTATAAAATTAGTTTAAATTCATTCGAAATAGATTAATTTGAACGAATTTCATTTTAAACTAGTTGCTATTCATTTTCTACAAACAAATTGGAAATAATTTAACAACTAAAATCAATTTAAATTAATTTTAATTGTCGAATTAATGTTAACTCATTTATTTGATATGAATCTGAATTAATCCGACCTCTCAAATTATTGTAAATTAAGTTTTGAATATTTTTTTGGTTAGAAATTACTCTAAATTAATTAGAAATTATTTAAAAGTTCCAATGGATAAGACTCACCAAGCGGCACACTCAGATCTATAAAAGCTTTCGATGAGCCATTCGTCCAATATCACTTTTGTTAAACTGTAGAAGAGTTACTCAGAGGAGAAAACTGTTATTGAAGCCAGATCAGCTGACTTTAAACGAAACTTTTCAAATTGCTGTAGCGAAAAATGACTTTTTTGAACTTTTCCTTTATGGAAGACTCTTATTTTCACAACCTATGAAGACTGCAGTGATCGATTTCTTAGACATCGGTCAAACTTTATCCGAAAGAGTAATGAGTTGATTGTTTTCTTTATTTCGTGTTTAGGTTTTTCCAAAAAAAGATTTTCCAAGACCCGCCATCATATTATCGGATAGAGCACATGTTTTCCTTCAATGTGCTCTACAAGTATTCAATGATAGTGAATCATATCAACAGTTTTTGGAGCGAGCATTTCGAATTGTTAATCATCGAGCAACAAAATCAGATTTTAAATTAACTGCTATTCATGCCTATTTGGCACATATTATGTTAGATATTCGAAAATTATGCAAAAAATATATTATAAACAAGCATGATCGTACTTTATCAATGTGGTGTGGTGCATTACTTGTGAATACAAACAATTGGACAGAAATGGTGGAAAATTGGAGGATAATATGCACAGTATTTATGAACATGTATACCAATAAGAAAAATAAACAAATCATGGACATATTGTTCAAAAAAATTAGTTGTATCAGTAACGATCTAAATTTCAGAACAACTATAGAAGATACAACAGAGGGTGATGATAATACACCAAATGATCAATATCGTTTTGATAATACTAATGATGACGGTAACAACAATGGTATTAGTTCAACATTAAATAACAATTTAACTAGAACTATCAAGAGAAAACGTAATTTAAATGCAACATTAGTGAGTATTAGTTCTTATATGACTGAAGAAATGCTTTTTCCCATATACACTTTTAGATCACTGTTGATGAAGAAAAAGAAATGAACAAAACCACCTCAAAATTTAAAAGTATATGTGATGAAATTTACGAGCAATGTTATTACAACAACGGTAATTTATTAGACACACGAACAACAACAAGAAAAGCCAATAATGGTAATATCAAATGGTTAAATTATTTAAAAACAAGTTTTATGCCAAGTGTACCCGTCTGGTCGAGTTTGCTGTTAGGTTAATATTTGTTGATTAAAAGCACTGAAGTCTGTTTTAACTGTCTTTTCTCCCTTATAGGTGATTTGGGTCGTTATAAAAAACAACTGAACAATTCTGATAGTTTATCATTGCAAAAATCTCATCCACAGCGAACAAATAATAATTCTGAAAGAAGAATGGGTATTCTGAAATAAACCCAGTTAGGTATGTATTAGCTTTATTATCTATTCAGGAAACAACTTTTTTTGATTATTTCTAAAACCAAACCTGAGTTAAAACTCTAGAAAAATCTGCTTAACTACAAAGAGATCCACAGTTGCCTTTTTTGGGTGAAAGTTAGAGCTTAATCAGCTTCTCTACGCAAAATAACATAAATGCCATCTTGATGTTATAATTTTCTATATTTTTTGTATTTTTAGGATATGAAATTCGTGAACGATTAGATATTGTATTATCCATTTTGGTTCCAGATATGGTGAACACGATAGAATTATTCCATACTGGCTTATCAAAATCAGCTATAGTCATTGAATCTGTTCAATTTGAAGAAGACGAACAACAGCAACAACGGCTTAAACCAGTGGAAGACCCTTGGCGGAAGAAATTAGATAAACGTGGAAGAGGATTTTACTCACAAAAGCCAAATGATTATATTTTATCAAGAATTACGTCAAATTTAACGAATCCACCTATTGTTAATGATTTTTTATCTCTACCATTATTATCGACACCAGAATGGTTAACGTGCACCATAACTTTACTACTATCTATTAAAAATATTCGTCAACAAAAATTATCTCAACAAATATATCCATCAGCATTGTTAAATGAAATATGCCAGTTTATCGATTATTGTTCGTCAATACGTAATCAAAAGAATGAAAACAGTAAGATAAAAAAAAGAAAAGTAGCAACAGAGAATACAATAGCAACTACTCAATTTTCAATCTCACAAGATTTTATATCGAATGATGTGAATGAACAAATCGAAATTATTGTCAAACAAATTTTAGTTCCTGTTATGGAAACACGTATAGAAGGTGTTAATTTGTACGAATGAATGATTCGTTGTCTTTGGTATGTTTCTTTCCAAATCCTTTTTAAAAGCTTTTTATGAAAGGGTCATAAATCGTCAGTCTTGCTTTCTTTCTTTATCTACTTTTATTTTTTATTTAGAATACAACAAGAAGTGAATAATACAAAAGACCATCTTTTTTTGTTGTTAAAAAGCTTTTGTTTTTGTTTAAAATGTTATTTTTGTTATATTTCTTGCTTTTTTTGTTTGTTATATTTGTTACAAAACATAAAAACTGAAAAACAAATCACAGTGCTTTTACAGAATTAATATAATTTTTGCGGTAAGAAAAAGACAAGTTTTGATCATTACCAAGATAAATATACAGCAAAAAATTTTAACCGAGGCCTGATCGATTTGTGAAAGTCTCATAAAAGTTGCTTTTCTATTCGAAATTTTTAATTATAGCGAAAAACATCTCACTATTGGAAAAACATACAAACTTTTTGAAAATCTGTTCGCTTTTTTAAAAGATACAATCGAAGAATTTCTCTTCAACGCTGAAATTTCCACTTAAAAAATGCTTCTCGCTCATCCGTTTTTAGAAAATAATTTTTCGAAGGAAAATCCGTACAGGTGTAGATCCGAGACTGTTGTAATTTAAGTTTTGCATGTCAATACAGTCTGGTGATATTCTTGTGACCTCATTGTCCTCTTCGCCCTAATAGACTTTAATCAAAAGAGATTGAAAGAACGAAAGCTATAATTTTTCAAGTAAAGGAGTCGATCGGTTATGAATATGTTTTTGTGTTTTAAACAGTCTACACTTTGCCTTTGTCGACTTGGACCATTGACCGTCGAAAAAATCTTAATAAATAGTGCTAAAGAGTTTATCTGAAGTGATCTAAAATACCGCTGTGTTTCGTGCAAGTTCAGTTGTATCAACAGTTGCTTTCGCTTCAGATACAAAACACAAATAGACAAAACAACCGAAAAGTAACTTATTGTGAACTTTGCCAAAAATTTCGATTTTCTTTTTCGATACACCGTATACTAGCGTCATCTATAGTACGATTTTTCAAAATACCGTTTTTAGCCAGAATTTGACTAATAGTTTATTGTAAAACATATTTTTAAGTTTAAAAGCTGATTTTAAAGGCTTTTTAACGTAGAGACTCAAGTTACCAAACGTTCAATGGTGAAAAAGTGATTTTAGAACGAAGTGATTCTAGCTTCCCATGACCGTTGCTGGTATTATTCCAGTAACAGCAGTTGCACCTATTGAATGTGTAAAATTACTTCTTCAAACTCAAGGTGAAATGCTTAAACAAGGTACTATCACCCGACCATACAATGGTACTATTGGTTGTATCATGCAAACTTTCAGAAATGAAGGACTCTTATCATTCTGGCGAGGTAATTTGACCAATTGTTTTCGATCTGTTTGCCATCAGGTTTGTGTGGATTGAAAATTAATCAAGAATAAATCAATTGATGATATTTTTTTTAGCCTTTGAATTTTGTCTTCAAAGATAAAGTCAAATGTATGTTTAAACAAAATAGAAACTATCCATATATAGTAAATTTTGGTAAAAATATAGCAAGTGGTAGTTTAGCTGGTGCATTATCATTATGTTTTGTTTACTCGCTTGATTATACTCGTACACGTTTGACTACTGATGTCAAAAGTACAAAGAAAGGAGGTGGTGAACGTAAACACGCGATGGTGACGTACAATGGTCTTGTTGATGTCTATGAAAAAACATTGGCTATCGATGGTATTGTTGGTCTTTATCGTGGTTTTGTTATTTCATGTGTTGAAATCATTATTTATCGTGGATGCTATTTCGGTCTTTATGATACATTAAAACCAATTTTAATTGGTCCTGATTCTGGTATTAGTTCTTCATTTTTACTTGGTTATTGCATCCCAATTACATCAGGTTTTATTTCATATCCATTTGATACTATTGTACGACGTATGATGATAACATCAGGTCAACCGGTTAAGTATAAAGGTTCAATGGATTGTATGTGCCAAATCTTACGAACTGAAGGTGTTATGGCTTTCTATAAAGGAGTTGGTGTGACTCTTCTTCGAGGTATCGCTGGTGCCGGTCTCTTATCTAGTTCGGATAAACTAGTCACACTTTATATTAGCGTCAAAAGTTGATACTAGTACTAGTGGTTAAGAGAAAAGAATATTCCATACAAAGTCATCTCAATTAGACTATCCTCCATCTTCCGTCTATTTCCTTACAACCTAGCACGCATTTTTTTTGGTCGTCTCGTCTATTTCATAAAAAAAATAACATAGATTTCGTTCTAGTATAATTTTGTTCTTTTTTCTCTCTCTTTCTTTTGATTATAACCAACTTTAGTAGCAGAAAATGTTTCTGTCCATTTGTGACTGTGTATATTTTCATTCTGCAACATTCATAAAAAAAAAGAAACTAGAACATTCTGTGATAATTGAAATTCATATTATTGTTTTTTTTATTCGTAATTTAAAAGCAAAAGATGAAATATTCTACTAAGTATAATTTCTTTTTTTTCTTCTACTTTTTGGAAACAATTATGTTAAATTTAGATCAGAACATTTATTGAATATGTTTATTGAGTAATGTCTATCAATAAATAAAATCTTTTACATGAATCATTTCATTCAACACAACCTGTATTTTCGTGAGATTTATCAATAAAAACGTTATCAAGTTTTAATATTAATTTTCATTCATATAATTCAACCTATACATCAAAACATAGTACAATTCCATCAGGATTTTTATCATCTCGTGATATACCTATTTCATCACCACGTGGTTGTGAAGATGATATTGGTACAATTTAATCTTCAAATAATACTCATTCAACATGTGCTGAACAAACATATAATTATATTTATGATGATAACGATGTTGATAATATACGAAATTATGCAACAGCTCCACCAATAATATCTTCTAATGATAATGATGATGATAGAGATTCACTTCATTCACCATTAAGTTCATTAATATTACTACTATTATCATCATCAACAATAAAATTATTATCGAATATAAATGATTTATTTAAAACATAATTTAAGTATCATTAATGAAGAAGATTTACATGAGCAAAATGAACGCCAAATATCATCGTTTAAAATGAGTAATACAACGACGGATGATGATGAAGAAGACAAAGATCAAAAAGATAGACGATTATTATTTGAACTTATTCGACAACGTTTACCACATAGATTTATCATCAAAAACAAATGACGATAATGGTCAGAAGGAATCAAAAGGTGCGTCATCATTATCAATTAATGATTAGACAAATATTGACACATACTTTGAAAAGGATACCTCACAATGCAGAACGCTTTCTATGCACCTATCACTATTTGTAGCTCTGGACAGAAGACCGATCTGACTCAGTGTTATCTTTCCCTAAATGCAACGGCCAATGTATGTCACAACGTAGCCACTATACGACTGTACAGGCCACAAATATATGAATCCTTTGCACCTTGATGTTAGATATTAGTGAAACAAAACTCCGATCTGAATCTGATCGGATCGAAAAAATGTGGCTTTACAGCTCGCTATCCTAGATGCACAGTGGTTAGCGACTTTTCCAAAGTCATTTCACGACTTGAACGCCTTATATAATTAGTTTCATTCTTTTATATAATAGACAATGCGTAAAGATTCTTCTAATCATGGTTCATCCTCCTATAATATAACAATTTCTTCTTCAGCTATGCAAGCAAGTGCTTATGATAGTTTATTACCTATCACTTCAGCTCCGAAACGATCTTTATCAAAATACATCACTTTCAACAACACATTCAATAACAAACAAGAAAATACTTCGATGGGATGAAGGGAATGATGATCTATTGAATGGAAATAATAATATAGAATTTACTGGTGATGATAATGATGATCATTATGATGAAGAAGCTGGAAAAACTCTTTTACGTAATCTTACTGTTCAAGTACTTCCATCATGAGAGACTTTACATAATGCAAAAAACTGGGATAACACTTTGTTGTTTAGTTATCCCCGATATTTGAACGGTGATGATGATGAAGATGAAGCTCTCAGTAATCCTCGTTGGCCGTCACCCACAAGCGAAGCATATAGCAGTAGTAATACATCGTCAATTCATTCATTTGATATTGAAACAGAAATGGATAAAAAAGACGAGAAAAATCTTTGTATTCGTTCAAATAAAACTAATATTATTGTATAATTCCACAAGAAAAAGTACCTTCTTCATAGATTTAGTTACTTTTAATTCAACGATTTTATTTTTTCTCTAAAGATTCATTCCAGACATTCACATATTCGTAGATCCATACATCAAACTAAATAATCTGAATTCCATCGTCTTCAAGTACATACACGTCAATAAAAATTAATTTTTCTCTCATTTTTCAATTCAATCTACAATCAATATTTGTTTTGTTAGAAATCCTACTGTCAGATATTCATGTAATCTTTGGCTGCATCAAATGCAAAAATCTTTTTTAACCCTTTACGGCCGGATATTCGCAAAGTGCCGCACTCCCCTACGGGAAAATGTGACCTTTACGGTACATCCAGTCGTAAAGGATTAAAAAGAAACAAAAAATCCCACCATCTATCTCTTAGTCATTTTCTTTTGTTGGTTTTTTTATATTCAATTAATGTACATCGAACATTTTTTTTTTCAAAGAAAATACTAATAAATGTTGATTAAAGTAAATATGATAATGTAAAGGTAAAGAAAAACGAATATCTACATAGGGTTATTCAAAAGTAATGACAACGACATTTTAGTACCACATACTAAGCTTGATAAAAGTTTCTTTTTACATAGGATGATATAAAAACAAATGCTCTATCTTTCTATGCTATTTGATAACTATTGAACTAATATCGTAATGATAAAATTTGGATAAGAACTGTTTTTGTTGAATGCTAGCTAGTTACAGTAGACCATAACGGATATGCCACTTTTGTATTTCGCTTTATTATTATTTGATGCGCTGTATCAAAAAAAGAAATATACCACAAGATGCAGCGTGAAAAACGGGAGAGTGACAATCGGTCGAACGACAATTGGGCGTAGTCAATTAGGCGCAACGACAATTAGTCGCATAAGAAATTGGGCGTAATTTTGTCATTGACTGTTGAAAGATAAAATCGTTGTGTCGTTCATGCTTTGATTATCTTGATAAATCTAAATAAGACAAACGTAATTCTAAATTAATTTAGAAAAAGAGGAAGAAAAAAAGAAAGCATAAATAATCAGATTGACTAAAAAAAATTCAAGTTTATAATTAGTTAATCGGATTAATTAAATATGTCACCATTTCTGAAAAATGGAATATCATTTGTCACTTATCACTTGTCAAATCATGTCTTCTATTAAAATAGCTACTACTGAAAGAAATAAGCCCTTATTAATGTTAAACTGCTTTAATTATACAATTGATAGAACTACTGATAAAAAAATTTATTGGAAATGTGAATATTCTGGAACAATCAAATGCAGAGCAAGAATTCACACTGATCTTAATTTTACAGTTGTTTTACAAGAAAATGGTGTTCATAATCATCCTGGAAGGATCCTGAAGTTAATAATGAGGTACGATTATTTCAAGGTAAAATACGTACTCGTGCTATTAATATGAATGAAAGCACTCAAAATACTAGATGGTATTCGAGTTTCACTCGACTACGAAATGCGGTGCGAAGCACGAAATATAGATTAACAGAAAAATAACAAATCTTAAAATCATGAAAACGAAATTCGAAAACTAGACATTGTCATTATTCATCATTAAGAAGACTCTATTCATACATATCAACGTATCTCTGCAGATCATTACTTTTCGATATTTTAATTATCTATATGATTTATTATCTATCGTCAGCTATATTTACAGCTGTCTTATATATAATCAGTTGTTCAAAGAAAGTAGCAGCTAACTTTTCTTGTTGTCTTCATTTTAATTATCTCCTGTAGAAAACCTTTCAAAATTGTCTTTTTCCTAAATTATTTGTACTTCAACGACTCATCCTCATCAACAATGGAAAACAAATTTTCACGGTCAAAGGACGGGAAACGGTTTCTGCAAGAAAATCGCCCAATATGATTTTGATTGGTAATTATCGGAAATGCTTCCCTTTTCACTTCCCAACACTTCCCATTTTCAAAAAATCCTTCCGGTGTCTTTGAAAAAAAAATTACATTTCATTTTTCGCCACCAGTTCAACAAAAGCCATTTACCGTTTTCCGCAAATTTCTCGTCCGATTTCAAAGTCCTTGAGCAAAGCGCATACATAGTAAAATAGAGAATTTTCTGGGCTTCAAAATAAGCTATAAACGAGGTTTTCAAAAATATGCCCATACAGGACAATTGTCGAAATACTAGACAAATATCATCAAGTTCACCTATCTTAGTGCTCTAAAGGAATATTTCTTGAACTCAGCTCCTCAGACCCGGAACGTTTTATATACCGAAAGATAGAGAATTTTTTAGGCTTCAAAATAAGCTAAAAATAAGTCTTTGGAAAATATGCCCACATGGGTCAATAGTCGAAATACTAGACAAATATCATCAAGTTCACCTATCTTAGTGCTCTAAAGGAATATTTCTTGAACTCAGCTCCTCAGACCCGGAACGTTTTATATACCGAAAGATAGAGAATTTTTTAGGCTTCAAAATAAGCTAAAAATAAGTCTTTGGAAAATATGCCCACATGGGTCAATAGTCGAAATACTAGACAAATATCATCAAGTTCACCTATCTTAGTGCT